AAAGCTTTGACGTTTCCTCAAATTATTAGAAAAAAACACTATTCGTTGTACCGTTTTCGACTCTAAATAAGCCCTATTAATTTTGTTTGAATTCAGTTTCCCCCTATCGCGCAAAGCGCGGAAGCTTTGACGTTTCCTTAAATTATTAGAGAAAGAAGACGATTCGTCGTACTGTTCTCGACTCGTCTAAATGAAGTTTTCCCCTTCCGCGCGAAGCGCAGAATTTTTGGCGTTTCATCACAATATAGAGAAAGGAAAACGATTTCTCGTACCGTTTTCGAATCTTATTAAGCCCTATTCATCTGAATTCAGTTTCCCCCTATCGCGCGAAGCGCGGAAGCTTTGACGTTTCTTTAAATTATTAGAGAAAGAACACGATTCGTTGTACCGTTTTCGACTTTTAATAAGCCCTATTTTATTTTGTCTGAATTCAGTTTTCCACTCTCGCGCGAAGCGCGGAAGCTTTGACGTTTCCTTAAATTATCAGAGAAAGAAGACAATTCGTTGTACCGTTCTCGACTCGTCTAAATGAAGTTTCCCCTTCCGCGCGAAGCGCGGAATTTTTGGCGTTTCATCACAATATAAAGAAAGGAAGACGAAGTCGTACCGTTGTTGACTCTTAAACCTTGTTTGAATTTAGTTTTCCCGAAAAAATTTCTTTAGCTGATATGATAGGAAAGTGAAACTTCGAGAAAATACAAGTATTGTAGTTGTAGTCACTCTTAAAGTCGTCACAGCGGATAAGAAGTCACAGTTCGTAGGGAAAAAAACTTGTCGGCCGACCGACAATATACATCTCACCGACTTCAAACTTCTGCATTGATATAGTACACGAGGATCGAGCAAGAATACCGACACAGCTGACCCGACACAGCAACATAATTATTTACCCGTGTCTTTCTTGCTCCCTCGACGAGACGACTCCACCCAACAACCCCCTTCTCTCGTTTACTCCCACTCCTCCTCTCTCAGACTCTTACCTCCCATCTCTCTCATCTCTTTCATCTCCCGTTTCTTTTGTTTCCCTTTCACTCTTATTTCTTCTTTTTTCCTTTTTTTCCCCCTTTCTTTCCTCTCTTCCCTCTTTTTCTCTTTTCTCTTTCTTTCTTCTCTTATCTTTCCTTTCTTTTCCTTTCTTTCCTATCTTTTCCTTTCTATCTTTTCCTTTTCTTTTTTCTTTTCTTTCCCTTTCCCTCTCTTTTTCCCTCTCTTTTTTCCCTCTCTTTTTTCCCCTCTCTTTTTTCCCTCTCTTTTTTCCCCTTTCTTTTTTCCCCTCTCTTTTTTCCCCTCTCTTTTTTCCCCTCTCTTTTTTCCCCTTTCTTTTTTTCCCTCTCTTTTTTTCCCTCTCTTTTTTCCCCTCTCTTTTTTCCCCTCTCTTTTTTTCCCCTCTCTTTTTTCCCCTCTCTTTTTTTCCCTCTCTTTTTTCCCTCTCTTTTTTCCCCTCTCTTTTTTTCCCTCTCTTTTTCCCCTCTCTTTTTTTCCCTCTCTTTTTTTCCCTCTCTTTTTTCCCCTCTCTTTTTTCCCCTCTCTTTTTTTCCCCTCTCTTTTTTCCCCTCTCTTTTTTTCCCTCTCTTTTTTCCCTCTCTTTTTTTCCCTCTCTTTTTTCCCCTCTCTTTTTTTCCCTCTCTTTTTTCCCTCTCTTTTTTTCCCTCCCCCTTTTCTCTTTTTCCCGACGGCAGCGCAATTTTACCGACAATATCCTCACACCCCCCTTTTGGCGACGCCCCTGGCTCGGGGTACCTAACAGTAAAAGTACCCTAGATAGAACACAATACAAAAGAAATACTGGAAAATACAGACATTTTTTTAAAAGTTTGTGACTTATATGAGAGTCAAGAGCACAGACTGAAATCATCATGTTATATTGGCATTATTTAGTTAAAATGTCGTAGGAAAGCCTTTAAAAAAATATATATTTTGTCAAAGTCCTATAGTATAGAGGTCTAGGTAAATGTACGGATTAGAGTCCCTCTATGCCGGTTTAAGCCTCAACTTCAATCCAAAACAGGAAGACCCAGACATAAACTGTTGAAATATATTATGAGGCTAAAGAGCACAGTTTCAGCTTTTAATTTTTGTAACAAATTATTCGGCTGTAATGTCATACGATAGTTTTAAAAGCCTTCAAATGTAAAAACGTATTTTCGCCATTGTTGAAAGTATGTATTGTGCGGTATGCCGGTTTGAGCCCAATCTGAAACAGAAAGACCTAGACAAAAAACATTTAGCACGTGACATATACCGCAGTAAAGAGCAGGTTTAAGCTTTACAACAGTACTAATTAGGTTATCTTTTCGTTCCAATGTCATTCGATATCTAAATCTATGTCCTGTTGCCGTTAACGTCACCCGAGCGAGACGTGCAAAATTTTCTTTTTCCTTTTCGATTGTACGATTTGGAGACACTATAACTCCCATTATTGGTGGCTAGCCTCCTTCCTTATTAATGGTCGCCAATTTCTAGCGTATGTTTGTGTGTATTGGGTTTTTACAGACGTGTATCGATCCAGATATGATTATTTACGTCTGGTGAACGAACTTTAAACGTCACCTTCCGGAAGACGTGACTCAGTTTCGAACCTGCGTCCTCGGCTGAATCCATTGTAACTTTCATTGCTAGCTGGATTACAGGGGAACGCCATCGTACGCCCATGTCGCTCTATGACGCTGGCCCATATAATATACACTTGAACTTCAGGGGTCCAGACAGCTCGACCCCCGGACAGCCCGACCATCGACAACCCGACCAAATACCTTGGACAACTCGACGAGGTCAAGCTGTCCAGGGTGGGGTGCTTTGGCGGATAGTTCGACCTACTTTTCACCCCTCAAAACAAATATGGGTACAGCTTAGAATGATATATGATATTTCTAATTATATATATATGAACATTATCAAATAGGGTTACGGTTATTAGGGATAGGGTTAGGTCAGAGGCGGCGGAGTAGGGGGGGGGGCACCACTACAAAAAGGGCACTTTCTGGAAAAAATCTCAGAGTGAAAAAAAAAAAAAAAAATCAGACATTGGTATATACCCCTATATTTTGATTACATTATCAGAGATGATTTCAATATTTGTTTCTCTTTATAGATCATATAAGATTTTTGTGTGTAAGGTCGCAGTGCGAAAAATTACATCTTATTAAGAGGAAAAACCCAATCTTGATGGGGTTACAACACATTCTCATAACGGAAGACTGAAAAGACCTTTGATTAGTAACATAATTGTAACATCTATAAATGCGAGAGAGCGTTTTTTTTTTTGGGGGGGGGGGGGGGGGAATTGCTCTTAGTCGCACTCAATTAGGGGCACGTACGTTCAATGATGAAAGGAAAAGGGAACACTTATCGAAACTGAGGTATAAGACACTTGTAAGAAAAGAAAAGGAGCACGTGTCAAAGCTCAAAGGCTATTTATCAGCAGTTAAAAAATAGGGGCAGTTCTTACACCTAAAAAAAAGAGGCACTCACCAGGGATGAAAAAAGGACTTATGAGAATGGGAAATGAGCATTTGTCGACAGAAAAGAGGCACCGGTCAGATTTCGATAGGGGCATTTCTTAGAAGTGAAAGGGATATTTGTGAAAAGGGGATAGGTTCCTTATTAGAAACAAGAGGGGCACGTATCATTGTTAAAAAGGTAATTATCAGAGGTAAAAGGGGGCACTTATTGCATCTGAAAAGGGGCACTGACCATATATGAGAAGAGGCACTTATGAGAATGCAAAAAGGGGCACTAATAACAAAGGTAAATGTGTACTTGTTAAAAGAAAAGGAGCACCGATTAGATATTAATAGGGGCATTTATCAAAGGTGAGAGGGGGCTTTTATGAGAAGGGAAAAAGAGGCACATGTTAAAATAAATGGGGCACTTTTCAGAGATAAAAATGGGTAATCATAAGAAGTGGAAGGGGCAATTATAAGAAGGAAAAAGGGCATTTATTAGGAAGGAAAAGGGGGATTTGTCAAAATAAAAGGGGCATTTATTAGAGATGAAAAAAAGCACTTCAAGAGGGGGGAAGGGGCACTTGTCAAATTAAAACGAATAATTATCTCTCAGAATTGAATAAGGTCATTTAGAAGAGATGAAAAGAGGCACTTATGAGAATGAAAAGGAACTATTTTCATAGGTGAAAAGGGGCATTTATGAGAAGGGGGAGGGGGCTCTTTTTAATGGGGGCACTTTTCATCAAAAAATGGGCACTTATTAGGAAGGAAAGGGGGCACATGTGAAAATATAAGGTGCGCTTATCCGAGTTAAAAAAAGTAGTTATTAAAAGGGGAAGGGGCACTGCTTACAAAGGAAAAGGGACACCTCTCAGATTTAAATAGGGCAATTATCAGAGGTGAAGGGGGCGCTTTTCAAAAGTGAAAAAGGCCGCTTCTCGTACCTGATAAGGGGCATTTATTTAAAAAGGGCACTTATGAGAATGGAAAATGGACACTCATTGCAAAGGAAAAATGGGAACTTGTCGAAGGAAAAGGGATATGTGTCAAAATAAAAGGAGCATTTATTGGAGGTGGAAAGGGGAAGGGGCACTTAAACAAAATAATAGGGGCACTTCTGACATAGTTAAAGGGGCACTTTTCCTATGTAAAAAGGGGCGCTCTTTAGGTACTACCCCACCCTGGCCAACTCGACTTGGTCACCTTGGTCGAGTTGTCCAGGGTAATGGATCGGGTTGTCCAGGGTCGGGCTGTCTGGTGGACGTGCTGTCTAGGATTCTTTAGCAATAAACTAGTCTGAGTCAACGAACTCAAACCAAGTTCGATGGTCTGAGTACCAGCGCTTACTTAGTATCTGTAGAGGTCTAGACTACATATAAAAGTCGTAGTTTTTCCAATGAAAAACATTGGAATAATTCATCACAATTATCTATTTAGGAGTTTTTACTTTTTTAGAGATGAATTATGGCCCTCATTCATTATAATACGGGCAATATCGGTAACAACACGATCATTTTTTGATCCAGGTCTACATTTAAAGACTAACTTCTAAAATCTTGTGACCAAAACTTAAACACAGGAAAAGCAGGAAAGTAACAGATATTTTAATTTTATACTTGATCTACGATTGAATCAAGATGGATGCCGACGGATTGCCCCTTGTAGGACCAGGAGTTGATTTGACTAAGGTGAGAACATATATTTTTATTCCATTTTAGTGCAGTGATTGGCGTGAGGGGCGTCACAAAAATTCTCTTCGGTCCCACCCGTTAGTGAGCATGTATGGTAGATTCATTACATACATTATTGGCATTTGTAGACAATTAAAGTTTGCTTTAGATGTAGGTCTAGGTCTATAACAAAAATTACAGAAAGATTACAGAGAATTCAATGCAGTATAAGGAATGATCAAGAAGGTCACCCAGAACAGTTTATTATGTAAAAATTAATGTAGATCCTAAGACTAAGAAAGATCGTGAAAGAGAAGAAAAGGAAGAAGAAAGAAAAGAAGAAGTCCTGACAACGAGAGAGAGAGAGAGAGATAGGGGGGGGGGGGGGTGGGTGGTGTCCAAACTTAAAGGAAACCTCACCTCAAAGAATAAGTGTAGGTATTTTGGAAGATGAGATGTATTCCTGCCTTATATTATGGTGTGCAAAATTCCTTACGAAAGTGTACAAGAGGTAAATAAATGAAGATATTCTTGGCATGATTGCCTTTAACTTTTAAGCATGCATGACATGGGCGCAGCCATTTTCTTGAAAATGTGCATACCAGGCGAACTTGTACATGTATCATGCACCAAACTATAGTTGGAAATACATTTTATTTCAACACCAAAACCTTTACTTTTCTATTAGGCCTTTAGGGAAAAAACATAGCTATTAAGTAAGAAGGTGTATCTAGACCTCTAATAATTTTTTAGTAAAAAAGAAATAACAGGGGAACATTTGTAAATGATTTATCCAAAAAAAGCAGTGCATTCCACGCAATTACCGTCCAAGGGGAAAAGAAGTTTTGGTAGAGTTGGGTGCTTGAGAGAATCACCCACAACTCCTTGGTTTGGACTTTCATGTGTTCCCTCTGACGCGATGCGGGATCCTGCTTTGTCGGAGTAAAATTCAGAACCAGAATAATAATAATTTGGTCCTCTAATCAGACACGCCATCCCATTCGTGTCAATCCTTTTTTTATTCAGCGATAAAGAGTTATTATAACATGAAAAAGTATATTTGTAAAACAAATCTGAAGGAAAAGAAATTTAAGAAAAAGTGGTTCCTTTTTGCAACGTGTTTCTGATTGTTTATTTCTTCTAAAATCATTTTGCCAAGTAAATCTGTGATATTTAAAAAAGTGAACTTCAATTTGTAACTGATATCTACACGTATGTATAAATGTTTGTTTTTATCATATTTTGGATGGCCAAGAATATCATTTAGAAATTCTGCATGCATAAATCAATTCTTATATGTGAACGATATTATTTTAAAAAGGATCCCTATGGAAGGGGTAAACAAATTTCATTCAGAAGTTTTGATAAGAAGACTGATAAATGTTACCCTTTATGTTTCTTTGTCTCTTTCCGTCAGGTTGGTGCTATACACTCCAAGCGAATGCTAGCCTTCCTCAACCACTTTATCATACACACCACCAGGTTCCTCAACAAGTTCTCTTGCGTTTGTGAAACGGTAAGAACAACATGGGAAGCCTCTAAGGCTCTAAGTCCGTATTTGTAATTATCATCTCCGCAATTTATAGAGGATTCATAGATTCATTGATGTTAAGACATGTCACCATGCTGTCTGAGCTCTAATTCTTTCTACATGTGTGTAGGTTGGATTACTGCAATAGTCTTATTGCTAGAGATAGAAGGAAACTTGAAACTCTCTAGAATCGTGCCGCTAAATTAATCTTTGGCCTTGGGTCTAGAACTCGTACTTCACCCTTATTTAAGGAAATCTACTGGTTACCTCTACACCACAAGCTCTGTTTAAATTCTGTTTGTATGCTTTCAAAATACTCAATTATTTGGCACCTGAATATCTTAATGACACCCTCGAAATATACACCAGCTCGTAATCTTCGTTCAGCAACCGACACATGTAAACTTATCATTCTCAAATCTAGACTCTCAGCACCTGAAAAAAGTTTTGCAGTAGCTGCATCAAAGACTTGGAACAGCATCCCTCTTTCCATAAGGGAAATTACCTGTCTTGCCACCTTCAAAAGATCCCTCAAAACTTACCCTTTTCCCCAGTGATCTATGTGATCTACATGTACATGTACTTCATGTGAGACTGTACATTTTTGTCCTCTTTTCATATACCAATTTGTATTTGTAAGCGCTATGGTACTTATTGTTTTTAGCGCTCATAAATATTCGATATTATTAAGGTCCTACACATCTAGGACCTATTTGTTCTTGGTGTGTATCTCGTGATGCAAATTCCTGGTCTGGTCCGGCTTAATTAAAAAATTAATTTCTGGGGAAAGGTGAAAAATAATTTGTGAGCGTTTTCATTGTTATTATTCACGTACACTGTAATGAATGCTCTTGAAATTTGGATAAAAAATCCATCTTCAAAATTTTGACAGCGATGAATTTCTGTTCTTTTTTTATAGGGCTTTGCAGCACACATTAGATTAGCTTTTAAAAATCATTATGTACCGCAAGTGAACTAAAAGATTAAAAAAAAATGATATAATTTACCTGCAATTATCACATGAAACATGATAGCCCAAATTCACATGGTTTAAACCCTCATTTACATAACCCATGGTTTAAAATTAGTGCAAAATAAGTGTACCTTGCCTTGCGTGCGTCTAATATTAGACCTCTGACTGCTTCACCCTTATTTTGCGCTAATTTAAACCACTGGTTAAATTTAAACCTCCGGTTAAATTTAAACCTCCTTTGTGAATTTGGGCCAATAAGAGTACTTATAAGTAGCAGGAAATCATGTCAGAAGAATTTGTAGTGATTGAAATGATTCTAGCACACATATTGAAAATACATTCAATTTATGTTCTTCTATCTCCTAAATTTTCTCAGAAATTATCAGATATTACGACTCGTATCCAGAGGCTGGAAACCACAGTCAACATATTGGAAGCAAAGGTAATGATTGTCATGGCTCTGGTTCACATTTTGAAATCATTACATTCAGTCCAGATTTTTATGCTTCCATAACCCTGGATTTCTTGTTCTTGCTAAGCTCAATGCTAAGAGCCTTTGATCATGCAGGGCCTTTGCCGTTGATCACTTTCCACAGGGAGATTAGTAATTAATAGATCAGTTGAAGTGTTTAAAAATAATCCTAAGACATATCTAATTTGGCATATTGGCATACCATGTAATTGATTGAAGGTTCTGTCAATTTTGTATGTTTTATATTCTGTTCCTTTGATTATAGTGCAGATGCTTTTATGTGATCTCTTTCTTCGTTTTTGTCCCACAAGTGCACCTTGAGCATTTGATTTCACGTGGATTTGGTGCCTCACGAATCTCTTATATTATTGTATCCCCCGGCAGTATGCCGGTGGGGTACTTTGGATTCAGCAGCATTACGCCGCGGCCGCGTCATATTCTTGTGTGCGCTCTCACTGCCACATTTCTTGATGGATTTGTTTCAAATATTGTATGGAGGTGTATCCTGGTATAATCTACATACCTATAACTTTTGGTGATGCTGCCCCCAGTGTTCCGTCTTCTATAGGGTACAAGGCCATATTTCTGTGGATGGTTTGTGTGCGCTCTATAGGCCACATTTTTAAAGGGATTTTGTTCAAATTTTCAACGAAGGTGTATCTTGGTATAATCTACAAGCCTATAGATTTTAGTGATGCTGCCTCCAATGTTCCGTCTTTTATAGGGTCAAAGGTCATATTTTGATAGATGTCTTGTGTGCACTCTAGTGTGCGCTCTAACTGCCACATTTCTTGACGGATTTCTTTCAAATTTTGTATGGAGGTGTATCCTGGTATAATCTACATACCTATAACTTTTGGCGATGCTGCCCCCAGTGTTCCGTCTTCTATAGGGTACAAAGCCATATTTTTGTGGATGGTTTGTGTGCGCTCTATAGGCCACATTTTTAAAGGGATTTTGTTCAAATTTTCAACGAAGGTGTATCTTGGTATAATCTACAAGCCTATAGATTTTAGTGATGCTGCCTCCAATGTTCCGTCTTTTATAGGGTCAAAGGTCATATTTTGATAGATGTCTTGTGTGCACTCTAGTGTGCGCTCTAACTGCCACATTTCTTGATGGATTTCTTTCAAATTTTGTATGGAGGTGTATCCTGGTATAATCTACATACCTATAACTTTTGGTGATGCTGCCCCCAGTGTTCCGCCTTCTATAGGGTACAAGGCCATATTTTTGTTTGTGTGCGCTCTATAGGCCACATTTCTAAAGGGATTTTGTTCAAATTTTGAACAAAGGTGTATCTTGGTATAATCTACAAGCCTATAGATTTTAGTGATACTGCTTGTATTAAGGTTCATTATAGTTTACTCTAGACCTCCACAAATTTGGTGCTGCTACCCCCCAGTATTCCATCTCTTATAGGGTCAAAGGTCATATTTAAAGGAATATCTTGTGTCGCTATGCAAATCACATTTCTTTCAAATTTTCTATAAATATGCATCATAATCTGATCTACACACCGTTTGTTTTGGTGATGCTGCTCCTAGTCTTGACAATAGTCTGAGCCACTTGCGGCAATCTCTACGTCATCCTTTTGTTTCACAAAGAGGAGAGGGAATCTTTGTCCCTCCTTCCACATAAGGATAACACAAAATCGCTGCCACTGCCGGGGGATACATTCGCATTGCGCGGCAATACAGATTGCAATATTTCTAGTTATTATTATTATTACATAGCACCTATTGGATAGGGTATCAAAATTGCATTTAATTTATTCCTCACAATAGTGAGGGCTTAAAAAGTACTTTGCTCAGTTTGTTAATGTTCTCAGCAATCTGTAGAGGTATAATTTGCCTATTTTTCAAGTTTCAATAAACCATGGCTGCGCCTCACGAAACCGTCGTAAGTACAAGTTCAGTGACATCCCATTAAAATGTGTGTATCAAGTTTAACACACGTTTCAATGGGATGTCGCTGAACTTGTACTTATGACGGTTTTGTGAGACACAGCCCTTCTCTTAAAGTCCTTTTCCGAGGGACTTGGTAATGAGGACTAATGCCTTTAGAGCACAAGAGTATTGACTTGGTTTCGAACCCTGGACCTCCCGGTTATGAGACCACTGCTTTACCACTGAGTCATCACGCCTCCTTATTTGGTTGAGTGGATACGTTGCCGGAATGTCGATCACAAGGTCCGAGTTCGAGTCCCGCTGCTGCACTAATGTTCTTTGGCAAGACATTGATCTACATTTGCCACAATCAACCCAGATGATGTAAATGGGTACCTGGCAGGAATTAATTCCTTGAAATGCTGGAGCGCTGTAATGGCAGCTAGGCTAAAGCCAGGGTAATAATAAATGCGCCCCGGAATAGAATTTCTAGACAGACGGCGCTATAGAAATGCCTATTATTTTTTTTTTTTTCTTTTCTTTCTTGCAGCTTGCATCCATCCCTGGCTTAGAGAATGTCACCTTGGAGACTACCCCGCCTCCAGCTGCTCCTGAGCCATCTAACCTCCCCGCCCTACCGTCATCGGAACCTGCAGATGGATCCGTAAGTGACCTTTGACCTTTAGTATAAAGTCATTCATCTTAAAGCAAGTTAATGAATTAGAAAATTTCAAGAGTCTTACAGACACTTTTTTTCGTTTGTTAAAATAGTACAATGTTATATGACAAAGCAGTTATTCTTTCTCTTCTCTTCATGTCTGCTATTATCTCTTCTTTCTTTTTTCAGAGCACATAGGGACTTTGATTTATTTTTGTGATATGTGCTATATAAGAATGGTTTATTAATATTATTATTAAACATATTGGAAGAAGTATCCAACAAAATATTGTTGATATAGTGATTTACCCTTGGAGAATTGTGTTTGTGAAAGTATAAAACTAAATATTTTATAAATGTATATATATATATATATATATATATATATTATATATCTCTGAAAAGTTTACCCTTGAAAACTGTTCCTTAGTCTTCATCATGAAATAATATAATGTGGTTTCTTCATCTCATCTGAATTTATTTTGGGAAAGTATAGAAAGTAGGCTCATATTGAGTGGTCATGCTTCATGTGCATGTGTGTTTTGTGGGGAATATGACAAATAAGTACAAATAAGAAACAGCTTTAGAGTTTGATTCAATAATACCAACATCTTTTTATCTGACAAGAGTAAAAATAATAATAATAATAATTACATTTATAGGACGCTTTATACAGACGTTTCTAAGCGCACATGTGGTACTGTCTAACTTATAATTATTATTCAACATGTTCAATACCTTTAAAGGTACTATGTCCTATTTGAAGGCCAAAAAAATGAAAAGGTTAAATTCAAATGGCATTTAAAAGATAATTCTAATTTAGAACTTCCCTAAAAAAGGTGGGGCTTGAAAATGCCTTCAAGTGGGAAAATAACGACTATTAGTTGTCAAATCGACTTAGGAGCTATAGAGCCAATAAGTAATAGTCTTAATTTTCAGACCATTGTACTGAATGGTCATAAGTTTTATGTTGCGCAAAGATTCAATCAGTTTAATTTTGGCCATCGCAAGAAGTGGGTTATTGATGTAGACAAATGCTCATGTACCCTTTACAGCTCATTTTATGTATGTTATTACCAAAGAATAAAAAAGCCAGTCAGTCACTCAATAGTGCCTGACAATGAAGTCTAGCAAGTAAAGGGGTTTCCTTGCATAATTTGAATATTAGGACACTGCTAACGTTTAAATTTAAAAGATAGGACATGACATATTTATAATTCCTGCAAAGTTCTACAGAATTTGAGGTTGGCTGCAAAAGGGACACAGTACCTTTAAAAGCAACAAAATAAAATAAAATATTACTAATACAATACAATACAATACAGTTGGGTTGAATGGAATTAACTACTTGTGTTCACCTCCAGTAAACTATAACTGATTAAAAAGGTGGGTTTTGAGAAGGGTTTTGAATGTTTCAAAGGATGGGGCATTTTTAATATGGGGTGAGAGTTTAAAGATAAACTCCAGTACTGGTAAAAAAAAAAATAATAATTCTCACAGAATCAAACGAAACTTACACTGAATGTTCAAGATTACAAATAAATGACATGTGCCAAACAATTTTGGAAGAAAGTGTATACTGGCTGAGTAATGAGCATAGAAAGACAAGGAAATTAAGGTAGTACTAGCCCCGACATCATGTGTGTTGTCCCATATATAGCTTTCTATGTGAGTGCTTGTTACTTTACCATGACTCGGTCAAATTTATTATGATTTTGATGACTCCGGAACCTTGCAGTGCACACCAATACTTACATGCTACATGATCAACTGTTTCTGATCCTTTCCACACCTTTTCTTTCACAATGCAATCGCATTACCAGTACTAAAGTTTATCTTTAATGGTTATAATTCTGCTTGAAATTGGCTTAAAATTGGGAAGCTCAATCCTGAAAACTAAGATAACATTCGATGTAGACTGCTGCCTAAGACTTCCACTTTCTTGCTATTACTAGTCAGAAATATAAAAAAACAGCTTCAGAGTTTGATTATTATTATTATTATTATTTATTTGGCATTTCAAACATTCAATAGAAGGTACAATAGAATAGCACATAGGATAGAAAGTATGAAAGCATAAAATTGGATTCCCCTGCTGCACCTCTCGAAGTTGCCTGGAAGAAAAAAAGGAACGCGAAACTTCTATAACCCGTAAGTCATTTCTTCCGACTCCAGGAAATGCAGCAGGGGATGCCTAAAATTATTGATGACAATGCATAAACTTAAGCTCAATAAATTGCAATATGTTATCTCGGGTGTCACTGGCATGTCTGTCTAAGTGAGGCAAAAAAGAAAAGTAAATAGCAGAAATTGGAATTGAATAATATTTATTATGTTGCACTTCAGAAAAATGATTCAACAATCCAACATCATTTGGTTTTCTTTGTATTTTTAGGGTATACCAGCGATTGAGGCCACACCAGAACCAGCGCCTGCCGTCATGACCGTATCTCAAGATCCAAGATATATTAAATACTTCAAGATGATCAATATGGTAAGTGACCTTTTGGTAAAACTTTATGATAGAGTGCTTTTAAAGCCCCACTGCACTACTTGCTCACTCTATGTAGAAAAAAATGCCTAATCGGTGACCATTGGTCCCCCATGATCCTCTTTTTCTTATGTTAATTGAGAGCTGAGTCGTTGAGATAGCCACCTGTCAGTGACCTTGCAGGGAGGTCTATTCCCTCCTAGCCAAACTAGTACAGAGGGCCTTTAATTCTCACTACCAAAACTACGGTATTTGGCCATCGAGGGCAGAACCAGCCAGGGGTTCTAATATTTGGCAAAGGCACTTCCAATTGGTCGAGAATTGGAAAGTCCAATATAAATTATAGTTTGGGAACCAATAAACTATCAGTAACATATTATGATCGTGCCTTCATAGATTTCATGAAATAAATGAGGGAGTTCATGAAACCTGATCGAAAGTTTAGTAAAATCAGGAATTAGTTGACACTGCTGGACATTCTCTATGGAAGCTGGAGGAAACCTTGACATATTGTCTTCCCCAGTATCGTATCTGCGCATGTGCTGACCTGGGCAGTGTGGGAGGAAGGGCGCCTTCTACTGTCCAACATCGTAAATGCGATTAGAGATCTCACTCCGTCAAATTATTCTTTGCACAAAATAATGGCTTCATTGGCTTTAACCCTATAGTTTTCATACTTGTATCATACCTAAGATCTCATACACAATTTGAAAACTTGGTTCACTGTTTTCTGATGATTCTATGATTTCATGTTTAAGTCTTCTTAATTCATGAGCCAATTTGAATTCTAAAGATGAAAGACAGGCTTTCTTGGTCCAAAAGTAGTAGACAACGCACACAAAATTAATCTTTTAAATCATGTAGGGTGCAATGTAGGCTTAAACTACTTAAACTAATAATGATACGATTCATACAGCTAATGTACATGTACATGAGTTAAAGAAGAGAGTATTTTTTTATTAGGATAGATAAAGTAAAGCAAAGAAAATGATTCATGTAATATTTAAGGCAAAGTTGAGTTCTGGTCATGCAATTGCATTGTGAAAGAAACGTTGTGGAATCGATCAGAAAAAGTTGACCATCTAGCATATAAGTATTGGTGTGTACCGTAGGTTCTGGAATCATCAAAATGATAAAAAATTGGCCCAGTCTTGGTAAAGTTACAAGCACTGTACACAGAAAGATGTATATGGGACTACACGAACATGTGGCATAAAAGCATAAAATCTGTCCCGATTTTTTTGACGTTACATGCCATATTTAATTAGAATATTAAGGTATTTGAAGAGCCATGCTTTTCAGGGAGCATTTTTTATCTGATGTTCTTTAACACTTACCTCTTCCCAGAACTCAACCTTCTCTTCAAATAAGAGAGTATTTTTTTATTAGGATAGATGAAGTAAAGCAAAAAGAATCATTATGAAATATTAAATGTTAATTTTCATGTTCTTAATTTGATCCTTTAGGGTGTTCCTGTAGACGCCCTCAAGCAGAGGGTACTCCTGGACTGCTTGGATCCTGCTTATCTTGAGTAAGTAGTCAAATTTGTATCAAGCTATCACTTTGTTAGTACAGTCAAACCTGCTTTAGTGACCACCTGTCTACAAAGACCACATTTTTCGGTCCATGCTTAGATATTTCGAATCGTATGCATTTGTCCATACACTTCAGATAATTACTTAACTTGTTACAACACCTGTCAAAGTAATAATCTTAATATTCCTTTTTTTCAAAACTACAGTTGGTCTTCAATCCCTATCAGTAATGGATTGTAGGAATGGAATGAACTCCCACAAGACATACAATCAAGTTGATCACTTGAAACATTTGAATAATTGTACAAGTCAATTTATTAGGCTCCCTCTAATGAAATGTTATGGATATGCATGTATATGATAAATAATGTATATGTGACTCCCCCCCCCCCCCCATTCTAAAATGAAGTCCCAGGCATGTGTGTGGGAGTGTGTGTGTGTGTGCGTGTGTGTGTGTGTGTGTGTGATAATGTATGTATCCTTATTTGTTTATTTTAAATCTTTAAATGTTTTTCACTTTTTCTTCTTTCGGGATACCATGTTACAAGTATTTTTCTTTTATTTACTGTTTTGAATTGATATACTGTTATTGTTTTCATTTGATATTATATTATGGTTGAATCAATATATACAAATGTCATAACCACTTGTTTACAGCACACCCAATGCTCCTGCTCCGCCCGTCAACCAAGAATCCGACTCAGATGACTTCAGCAGCCAAGATAACAGTTCTGATGACGACTTCAGTGATTAGATAAAAAGGAGATGTAGATGGAGAGATGGAGAGACAGAGGGGTAGATATTGATGGGGAGAAGGATGGATGGAGACAGCGAGGGAGAAAACAAGATAGTAACATTGGATATTCTATCATCAAAGTTCATCTGTTTTGGTAATATGGTCATATTCCATGGGCACATATCTGTGGCGCAGGGTGCTCAAGATGCTCCAATGTTACCCCAGTGCTAGCTTGGCTATGACTTTGTTCACAGCACTCAAAACATAACTTTCTACCGGTACCCATTCAACACCATGGTGGAGAGTGACAAATGTTTAGTGCTGTTTTGCCAAAGGACACTTAGTAAAGAAATAGAAGGAGAAAGCATGATGGAGAGAGAGGAATGACGAAAGACCTGGGAGTGTTTCACAAAGACTAAGATCGACTTCAATTTGGACTTAACTATGGCGGGTCATTTATACCACTGTTTGCTATCGCCATTTACTTGCATTGGTCTCTCAAGGGATGTACAAATCATGGTCACAAATCTACTGCATTTACATTTCTTAATAATTCGTTAATAAAGGAATTTTTTAAAATCTAAAGATCATAATTGAGAGACCAATGGTGAGAGCAACCAGTGGCATGAATGGCCTGCCACAGTAAAGTCCAACTTAAAGTCGATCTTAGTCTTTGTGAAACACCTCCAGAAGATGACATGATGATGATCTTTGGTGCATTCGTTTCAGTTTATTTTTAATGATGATCAAAAGCGGGGTCTTGATGTATTATTTGACCACCTACTGATGAGCACTAAAATGATATTCTACAACTGCTGGAGTCTTTTGTAATGCGCGTGGTCATCATATTCTGTCTTCTGACCTATCACCATCTCAAGGGACTGCTGTGATTATCTTACAATAAATACCATCCCTCTCCTACATATTTCAGAACAACCAAACGATATGTATTGGTTATGCTACTAGATGCTACTACCGGTATTTAAACATATTGGTGGCTTACACCAAGTCAATAAGATCGATCTGTATTGAAAAACAGGTCATACAAAATCTTGGAACCAGCGGGACTTGAACCTGCATCTACTGCTTGCAGGGCAGCGACTCTACCACCAGGCCATCACTGGTCCATGGCACAGTCACGATGAACTAGAAACAAATACCCAAGCTCTCCCGATTCCCGCTGGTTCCAAGAGTTTTTCTGACTTGTTTTTCAATACAGATCAATCAATCTTATTTACTGGGTGTAAGCCACAAATATGTTAAAATAATTGAAATTTCTCCCAGGAAGCATTACATTTATAAAATAGATGCTACTAGTTGCATGAAATGAGTCATGTCCTGAAACCCAGAAGGTCATTAATTCATATCCTTTAACTCAGAGTTAACGCCCTTCTGTTTCTCCACGAAGTGCAGTATTATGTATGTGTTATTGTATGTTTGTCCTCTCTCTTTTTATAGTGGTAAAGGATTTCAAAAACAAAATGGATTGAAGGTTTTACAATGACAGGAAACTGACATTTTTTTTGTGCTTGATATAATCAAACAAAAATAATAGAAATGAAAGTTAGACTGCCTACAACATCCTTATTTTTTAAACATCCTCTATCGGATGCTGTGGCCCTGTGTTGAATGAAATGAAACAAATTGTTTGTTCTGTTCGATCAATTAATTGTTACAGGGATAATTCATCATACTAACTAACAATATTATGTATAAAGTAATGGTAAGCCCCCCCCCCCCCTCAATTAGCCTTGAATTGCAATCTAATGATCAATATTTTCTTATAATGAGGTTAGCAATAATAGACATCATGTAAGTATTGATGATTTTGTATTCCTGCATGTCGTGAAATTTTCAGAGAGTTTATTTCAAACACTTTTAAATGTTATTGTTGTTGTTGGTTTGTATTTTCATGTTCTGTTTCAAATTTCATTTTATTTCCATTTCCCACAAAATAAATAAAAGTACATGGGATTGCATTGTACATAGTAAAACAATGAAAGTTAAAAATATATTTGTAATTGGTCCACAGTGCACAACAGGCATATAAAACAGGTTGGTCATGGAGGGGACTGCTGAAAAGCTGGGCTTGTAGATTGCAGCCCCCTAAATTGATTCCATATCAAAACAAAGCGCTCTGAATGTCTATTTTTTGTTTTGTTAGGTCACAGTATCAGTTGTTTATATTGAGAAAAAAAATGAGCAGAAGTAAATTGCACTTTCCCATCTCAAATATTATAAAACTTGCCACATGTACATTGTTAACATTATAGTTAACAACAGAATTATTAATACCCCTTGTCAATTTATGTGTCTTCGTAGCTCAAGAATTAAAGGTGGAATGGTTGCGTTAGTGCCTTAGTTAAATACTTTTAGATGTAAGCTTTAATATGTCAGATTCTTAAGGAACATGAATCAGGACAAATTAATTTTTCACATACATGTACTTAAAGGGAGTTCAGAATGTGCATACGTGTGCTGGTAAGCCTGAATCCGATGACCAGGGTAATAATATATCTGTATAGCGCTTAGACACATCGTTGTATCAATGTATTGGGCACTATATAAAAGCGGAATATTATTATTATTATTAAAAAGATATCCAAACTCAGTCTTGGTAAGGGTACAAATAATTCAGTTGTTAATTGTATCCCTAAATGAAAACTATGATTTGTTGTTTTACATTGTTAAGGCATCAAGTGAATCAGGAAAACAGACAAGAAGTGATGTGTTTTTGTTTGTTTGTTTATTGAAGAGGAAATGTAACAACGACAGTATACAAGTTCCACTCTGTGTTTCCTATTTCCTGTTGACCAACATCCTTCATATGTGTATGGTAAAACAGACCAATTATGATGCATTTCCTTGTTAGCGATATTGAATTAACACTCTGTCTGCTTTCGTTGCCTGTCTACACGGTTCCTCGTTTGCCACTTGTGTAATCTTGCACAAAACAATAGGCACCAGCTGACCAAATGTGCTTTGTGCAACACAATGGCTTTTAAAAATTACCCATTTCAGGTCTTAATTAGCTCCAAGACAACACTCTTTACACCAGTATAGATTATTAGTACTTATATAAGGCTTCCAAGTGGTACAATTAAATAGTGTATTTATTATCTTTAGTGCATTAACCGAATGACTGATCAATATTGTTTTCGTATTGCTCAGTCATCCGGGAACTTCGACTATTGATATCAATATATTGAAATTACGCTAGTCAGCCTGATATAGATGATAATAATAATATTATATGGCTTTGTTTTCTTGTGATACAAGAATACATTAATAATTATAATATCTAAGATTGATATAGCGCTGGTATACAAATACAGTTTCTAAGTGCTTTACAAAACAAATGAAATTAAAATTGCGTTTAATCTAAATATGTAATAAGCATCAACAACAAAAGTGAAATGAACACATATTGCTCTCGGTATGACAATATAATCTTTTATCACACTCAAGCCATCCAATATTATATAAGTATTGCATTGGAAAAAGTTAAAGGCAGGCTTTACTACTTCAGCCAGAAGGGATTAGACCACCAAGCGAGCTAGCGAGGTCACTGTGACAGGTGGCTATCTCATTAACTCAGCTCTCATTTAACATAAGAAAAAGAGGATCATGGGGGACCAACAAGCACCGATTGGGGAAGTTTTCTATATAGAGGGAGCAAGTAGCTATAAGTAGTACAGTGGGGCTTTAATATAGCTTTGGAAAGAGTTAAATAATCTTGAAGCCTTTGTAATATCCATCCCAAGATAAATACAATATGGCATACAGAGATTATTTGTGTGGCATATAAAGAGTTAACACATCTACTTGACCTATAGTGATTGTCCTTGTATTTGTTAATGTCTTGGTTCTAATCATTTAAAAAACAATGCTCTTTACATTTTTGTTTATAGTGCAGCTTCTATTTTTTTTAAAAACTTCTGTTGCTACCATTCTCACTCTTGTTCCAATTTAGATGAAGGTAAATCGCCTCTGCAGAAATGTGACCTGATGCATCTATCATTCCAATGGCAACAGACATACGTTGATTCTTTGAAATCTGGTTGAAATCTCTCCATCTTTCTCTCAGTAGTTAAGTTTTTATTCAATTAATTGAAGATTGCATGTACAAAGTGTATAATATTACGCAAAAGAGATTATGAATTTTATGAGATATGAACTCTATTGAATATATTCTATGCATGTATAACACCTTGATTCTATTAGTATTATGTTTGAAGTTTACTCAATAAACTCCTGTCATGAGATAAACGAAGGGAGAGAGAGAGAGAGAGGGAGAGAGAGAGAGAGAGGGGAAGAGAGAGAGAGAGAGAGAGAGAGAGAGGGGGGGGGGGAAGAGAGAATAGAAAAAAATAGAGGGAAAGGAACGCCTAAGAATGGGAGAAAGGGTATGTGTGTGTTTGAGAAAATAAAAGCTCTGAGATAGAGAGAGAGCACGAACAAAAGATAGAGAGAAAGAGAGAGTGTTGGAAAGAAATATAGTGATGAGGGGTAAACTTTTAGAGTCTCTGTGGTATATTTCAACTCTTTACTCGTCAAAATTGATAGATGCATTATTTCAAGAACTCGCCCTTGCCGCCCTTTCAAATGTTGGTTATACAATTTCCGTGTTTTTGTCAGGGGTGTATGTATATTAAGTGTGTGAGAGTTGGGGGAATTGATAGAGAAGACAGGGAGGGAGAGAGTTAATTGATCTAACAAATGGCATTATCTTTTGAATAAACTGATACGTGCTTGATCAAACACACGATATTCCATGATAATGAGAAGACTGATGTTCTTCCACCATGGACACAGCGTTCAGGAGTGCCATGTGACATTGAAGACAGTAGGAGAGAAAGAGAGAGGTGGGGGGGGGGGAAGAGAGAGATATAGGAGGAAGGGAGAGACAGAGAGACAGAGGAGGAGAGGGTGAGAGGAGGAAAGAAAGAGATAGAGGGGACATGGAAAGACAGAGAGAGAGAGAGAGAGAGAGAGAGAGAGTGAGAAGAGAGACAGATACAGAGGAAGAAGGGGAGAGAGAGAGAGAGAAAAAAGAGAGAGAGAGATAGAGAGAGAGAGAGAGAGAGAGAGAGAGAGAGAGAGAGAGAGGGATAAATAAAAGTAAACTTCAAACAAACATTATTGGGAGGACTTGCTTTCCTGAAATGTCCTACATAATTAATAAAGAACGTGGACATTTCCTGGTAAAATAAACTTTTTGACGGATAACTGTCTGGAGAGGTAGATGTAATGCATCTCTTTGCGGTGATGTGCCCTTTTCTCTAGCAATTTCCTTGTCTGCCTTCTAATACGTCATAATTACGTCATGAAGTTCAAACAACGAGAAAAGGTTGCCGTTTTGAGTATCCGAACCCCTCCTCCACACCATCCTCTTAACCACGCGACCCCCTCCTGGGAGAGAGGCTTTAGCGGCTTGCTCATCCCCCTGGTATCCCGTTTCCATGACGACTATAAGCGTGAGATTGAGGATGCAGTCTCACTTGGAGGAGGAAGTAACTCGAGGAGAATCCTCTGCTACGCTACATTGAGGTCAAGATTGTACTTTTGAAAGCTCCGTTCAGACGCGGTTTGGTAAACCGCCTATAATATACCTGGGGGTGTTTCACAAAAGTTGTCATCAGTGACAATTTTGACAAATGACAGATTTTGTTATAAGCTACTGAAATCCTTGCTTCTGATTGGTTATCAGCAGATTTGTCACTGATTTTGTCATTAATGTCTTTGAAAAAAGGCTTTGTGAAATGGGTCCCAGTACCTACATGTAAAATGACGGAAATGACATGGGTGTCAACAAATTTGTGGAAAGCCTAGTGCACACGAGGCGTCATTATATTGCGTCATTAAGTGCGCTAATAGAGCACAGGGGGGAAGTTTATTCCATTCGCCAGTGACGCAACGCAAAGTTTGATTGTGCTGTTTTCTTTTTGTCGACGATTGACTCTCGTGTG